ATAAATGGAAACTTATTCGTCTTTGTCTTATTAAACAGACTATTATCACATATCCAGATGACTTATACATTAATTTTAAAAAAAAAAAAAAGCTCTTTTGAGAGATTTAACTGATCTTCTCAATGTTGGAATGTGAAACTTATGAACTGACTGATGTCTATCCAAGTTCTAGGTAAACTCGGATTAATGACTCTTATTTCAAGTCTCCATAATTTACCAAGCTAATTAGCAATTAAAACAATTATTCAAAATTGATCTTCATCTGATAATTACCCGGCATTGTGACTCTTATTTCAATTCGCCATGATAATAATGAAAATACTTGAGTTATATATATACTGATACTTGCAAACTCATACTTATTAACTTTATAAAATGTACTATGTAGGACTGGTCCTACTAGTACTAATAACATGTTCATGAACAGTGCTTAATAAAATTTCTCGGTATCTAATTATTAAGATACCTTCATTTCTGACTCTAAAGATTGACTGTTTTTTTAAACTTTACTCGTATGGTTCAGTTTCTAGCCTCCATGGTATATTCGGACTTATGGTTCTTATTTGAAACCTCCATGATAAACCCGGACTTATGGCTCTTACACACTGAAAAACCGTTACTTCTGATCTTTAACTTATGTACATCGTACATACTCAAATCAATTTCTAGAGTCAGAATTCAACTTTAATCTGATGTCTTATCTTTAAAATGTTCATATAACTTTCTTGACTTTCGAACTTTAAAGAAAATTATAATCACAAAAATAGCAACTATATCTGAATGAATATCTCTTGTGAAACTTTACAGAGTGCCGTCTGTATACTTGAATCTTAACTGAAAATAAATACTGAATTCTTGAAAAGCACAATTTCTTGACGAGTTATCAACTTGATAAGCTATAATTCAACTTGAATTCTAATATAATTCTGATTTCGGATATGAGGACATATCTGATATTACTAATCCGAGCATTTATTCTGATTTATAAGGTTCAGATAATTGGATTTTATTGAGCATAGACTTAGTAATTTGCATATATAAACTTTTGCACAAACTTTAACAGCACTTACCTGGTAGTCGGCGAGGTGTGAGAGTGGTGTGGTCGGTTTTTCCTAAAAAGTTTCTTTCTAAAACTCAAAGTTTTAGTATACAGAGCGTTTGAACTTTAGCTCTGATACCAACTGTAACACCCCGCTCATCAGAG